TCTACACACAACTCTCCCCATGTTTTTTTCATTCCAGGAGTATGTTCACACAGACTGTGAAGTGTTGACTTAAGCTCTTCTTAGATTAATTGCATTTTATGTAAATTATGTCCCTAGTCACAGACCTATAAAGTCACATAATCTGAAAAAAAAAAAACAACAATTTAATGAAAGTAACAAACTAACCAATATGTAAAATGCATGGCACAGAACTGGAACTCTATTGCTGGGGTCTCTTGGGGTACCAGCTACTACTGTCTCACTGCAATTATGGCATTACAGCATCGTTAACCTTCCTAAAGGTGTTGTCAACTTCACACAGGGGATATACAAAATCATAACTAAATCCACACAATGCAATGTAGCTTCATGGAACATCACTGTGGAGGGGCAGCGCGAGCCTCAGTTCCTCCTAAATCCTCATATCTCCACTGCGCTAACCCAGAAATGGAAACGGAAGTGTCACCTAGTCACCTATCTATCCCATATGCTCAGAGGATATTGGAGGCACAAACGACCATGAAAATCACTACTTGGGGCACTGAGAATCCTCTTTAAGTAATGAAGGTCTCCAAGGTTATTAAACATTTAACCAGCCCTCTGTGACTCCCTGTTCCTTTTCCAACTCATATCATTCAAAGATGGAGATACTAGGGTATTGTGATACAAAGAATTTTGTAAAAATTAATAAAAACTATTTAACAAAAATATTTTATACTGAAATATTCATCTACATCACATATATGCAATATATCTATACAGATGTACATCTACATATAAACAGGTATGCATTTATACTATATATGTGTGTATGTGTGTATATACGATAATAGTATAACTTGCTATTAATTCAATAAATAATGCTATCAAAAGGAAAGAAAATCTGTAGCTGCATGATCTGATGTTTTTTTCTTTATGTCACAAATGTGTTTTATCATTTTGGCTTATGTGAATATTCAAATCAGTTTGTAGTTCATGAACAGAATCTGACTGATGGACAAGACACACTCTTCAGAAGCATGCTAAGTAATAGAACGAGAACAATTTGAAATTAAATTTTGTTCTAGAATATACATCAAGCGAATAGTCATAGTTAAAGTTAATGGCAACTATTTGCTCTTGCTTAACGGCTGTATATGACTCTGGTGGTAAAACAGTCTCATGGAGCTTTGTCCATCCTGAGTTTTTATAGTTTTAGGTTACATTTATGGATGGATCAAGTCAGAAATAAAATTTGAATGATACAATTCAGCACAAATAAAATATACAACAATCCATTTGGCAAAGATAAAAATATCAGGAAAGTACCATATTCTCCTCTCTGGTGCTATTAAAATTTAATAGTCCCAAGGCTCAAGTGTAGAACAGACTCAATTGACATATGGCTAGGCACAAGTGAGAGCTTTGAACTCCTCAGAACCACGGCACACCTAAAGTATCTTCTAATTTCCTAAGACCACTCTTATGACTTTTAGGGACAATTGACAAGCTCTCTAAATCCTTAGGACCAAATCTGGCTTGGGGCAGGGGCCACGACTTTCCATGTTGATGAGGTCCCCTGTATTTGACCAAGATTCATTAAGACCAATTTATGACAAAATTGTCATTCTAGAGACCCATTTGGTCAGATTCTCCTCACAGACCGCACTGAGCTGAGGTTGGTATAAGTGGACATCACAGTGCTCAGAGTGACCAATGTGGACATGGCATAGAAAGGAATATGAAAGGAACACTAGGAAGTCAAAAGAAATACATGGTCTTGACCCACATATTGGGCTCTTGTGAAACACACAATAAGATAATAAGAAAATCCTTTTGCCACCTGTTACTCTGTAATCACAGAAGGATTCCTGGTCCTATAAAATGAAACGAAGCTGTTAGGTCCTTTGTCTTGATGTTGCATCCTGACACAAGTCAGATACAGCCCACCCCCTGCCCAGGACTCAGATCAGCCCTCCATGCCTTCTCATCTTCCTGACCTGATTCCCTTCCAAGGCTGTCCTTCTCACTGTCCACATAAACTTCACTCTTCATTCCCCACCTCTCTATATCTGTCACCTTTCACTCTCTGCTGTTCCTAGTAACTGTGGCTGTAACTTGCCATCCTGTTTTTGTGCACTTGATCTTTCTACAAATACAACACTGCCTTCAAGTGAACTGAAAACATGAAGCACTTGCTGCAGGTTAGGCACTCTGCTAAAATGTTTTACATTCTAGTCTTTATTTAACTTCCTATCCTTTGAGGTAGGTCCTATTATTATCCCATTTTAGAGATGAGGAGGCTGAGCCTTAGAAAAAAGTAATACCTGTTCAGTGCCCTATAGAATGTAAGTGTTGCAGCTGGGATTAAAACCCAGGCAGTCTGATTTCAAAGTCCACCTCCTTAACCATAACACACAGCTGTCCCCTTCCTTTCCTCATCACTTCGTAACACAAATGTCTGGAATTCAAAAGTGAATGGTAGTTTCTGACTATGTGTCCTCAAAACACTCATCAAGTTGTACTTACCCAGATAGGTGAGTTCCCTCAACTGCCTATTGAAGAACCAGTCACATCCTTGGTCTTTACGAGGTGATGGAAGAGCCGAAAGGGACCGCCCCACTTGTCTCCCACACCTTATGAAGATATCGGGGTAAGGCCACACGACTGTATGTACCAGCAGGAGGTGATTCCCAGGAGCAAAGTTGCCAAATGTTGCTGAGTACTTGAAGTGAGAGAAAAGCAAAGTAGAGCTCATTTAGTAAGGAAGGCTCCCCTCCAAAAAGAGCTACAAAGAAAGAACCCACAGATGGAATAGTTTAGAAGTCAGATAGTTCACACCAGACTACTTTTCTTGTGAGGAATGGGCTCACTTAAATCCATTCCATAATAAGTTCATAACTTAGGCTATAAAATCGTAGGATGTGAGGACTGAAAGATGCCATACATTTCTGCTTGTTTATCAATTTTGATTAACAGAGAAAATCAAGGCCCAGACAAGTAAATTGACTTATCCTAGGTCAAACAGCTAGACGAGACAGAGCTAGGTCTAGAATTCCTTTCCAGTTTTTCCCATAACTTAAAAAGGCAGCAACGACAGCAGTGCCATCCACACCTAACATTAATAGCTTGCACTGTTGGAGATTTGCTACGTGCTCAGGTACGATTCTAATCAAGGCATTCAATCCTTGAAATATCCCCTGTGGTTGTTACTACCATTGCCCCATTTTAAAGATGAGGAAGTTGAGGCAGGCGGAGGTTCAGTAACTTGCCCCACATCACAAAGTGGGAGAGTGCTGAGCCAGGGTGTATACCTCCAGAGTCACCATTCTGCTGCCTTCGCCTTATTAAATATTTTTTAAATTATCTCATGGGAACATCAAGGGAAGGAACAAGCTCTCCTTTCTGAGAGCAATGGTTAGAGGATCAAAACAGATTCTGCTATGAATTCCTCAAAATGATAGCACACCTAAAGCAGCTTTTAGTTCCCTAAGACTGCTCTCATGACTTTTAGGGAAAATATGTATCATGAGACAGGAAGAAAGAAATGTGTTAAAAGGAAGAAAAGAAGCTTGAGGGAATCCACTAGACTGCTTTTCTTTCTTCCAGAAAACGCACCCACTCTCTACCTGGCTATTCCTATCTTTGCTCCCCCTAACCATTTGTCTCCTTCAACCCAACCCTAAGGACTGTCTGGACCTTCATTTGCAAGTTAATCTTTGACCACAAGGTGGCAGTATGCAATGTAAAAATGCATTGTTAAGACATTTTCTCTGGCTACAAACACTTCTCCCCGGGTTAAGTTGGCTCTTAACCCATAACAGAAGAATACAATTCTATGGATTGCTCAGAAGCTGTTTTTCATTGTATTAATTAAGTTAAAATTTCAGGCAGAACAACTCTGCATTTAAGGTGAGATTTAAATAGATTCTAAAATTTTCAAGTTAAGAAAAGAAAACAACATATCTCGTATTCTGGTTATAGTCATCTGGCCAAAATGGTGCTGCAGTTTTTCTTATCATCACCAGCAGATAGATGTCAATACCTGCAAACTATTATTTCACAGAAGGAAAGATAAGAACCCCTGGGGAATGGAACACACCACTGAATGAGTTCCTGGCATTACCTGTAGAGATCTGTTGATCCAAGGGGTCTCAAATCGCAGTGAGTAGGTCTCTTGATCTAAGAGCAGTGCCATCCAGCCATAAGGGTTAGACAGTGTGTCACACACATAACTGACAGTGATTGTCTTGTTTCTGCTGTCAGTCATGGTTAAATCATAAGAAACATCTGGAGCATTAATCCTAGGGTGATTTAAAAAGAATAAAATGAATTTTGATGTATTTGTTCATTCTGGATCTAACATACTCCTCTCCTATCAGTTATAGTTCATCGTCTGTCTATCCTAGGTCTGTCCTAGGACCCTTTTGTCTGTGTCTATGGAGGATTTAGTAGTCACTGTATGGGTCAAAATAGCCCAGTGGGAAGGTGTTATTGGATCGTTTGTGCATTTCACTATTCTGGTGGGTTGGAGTTAGTAACGCTCAGAACTGATGCCACTAAAACGCCGTCTTAATGAAGTAACATATGCCAGCACTAGATACCATTACTTTAACAAAGAAATGTCCATGGCCAGAATTTTGCCATAGACCAGGTTTATCAAAAGCAGAAAACATAGTATATAGTCATTAGATATTCCTATTGGGAGCAATGACTGAGACCCAGAACCCGATGTACCTGGACTATCAGAAGCTCCCTCCCCACAACTGCCTAGTAAGAATGGCTTCGGTAGCCCACCCTAGAACAAAGAGGTAACCTGGCTCATCTCCTTTTGGCTTGTACAATGCCCAGTGCTCACTCCTACCATAGCACCTCAGTGTTGGGTTTGCTTTTTTGCTTGTTAACATAGGTTGTGAGATCCTTAAGTTAGATATATTTTCTCCTTTTTAGTACCCTGCACCCTGGCACAGGACTCGGCACACAATGGGCACTCAAATTATGTTTGTTATGTGAACAAAGAATGCATGAATGAGCTCTCCCAAAAGTTGACATCAATTTCTTAATTTATATAAAGGGTTTATAGAAGAACTGCATTTTACCGAATACAGAAACTGAGGCAGAATATGACAAAAGCGTCAAGTGAATGTCACGGGTAGAACTAGAAATTTTTTTAATTTCTGAAAATTATCCTACACAGCCCAACCCAGAAAGTAATTTTTAAGACTTTACTAGAACATAAATAAATTTAGTCACTAAAAGACAGAAAAAATAAAGTAAAAAAAAAAAAATCAATACACATTATGACTGTCCTTTCCCCTTTGGTTTAGTTTTCATGAGAATCTTTAACTGTGGCATTTTGCTGCAGGCAGATAATTAAATTCTCAAAGTAGAGGGAAATGAGATGAAGGAGGATGTTGGGTTTTCAAAGTGAGGTGTGGCATGAGCATATCCAAAGCCAATTTACAATCCAGTGGCATATTATAAAAGGAAACTGTTTTTAGTGTTAAATGATTGGGCACTGTGTTCAAATGGGTATAAATTGAAAATCTATATCTGCATGAACTAAGTGTATAAACTTGGGTATATACTTGACCCTCTTCAAGTTTTAATTTCCTTTTTCTTTTTTTAAATGGAGGCAATAATACTGTGTATCTCATATAGCTACTGTGAAACTTAAAGTGATAATATATGTAAAGTATACAGTAACCATCTACCTACAGTTCATTTAAAAAAGAATCTCAGATGTGCCAGATTTGTCATTCTGTACTACTCATTTTAATATCTGGAGGTTGATCCAGAATATTTGGTCATTTAAAAACACACTTAAAAACTTTCATGCTATAGAACATTGATACAAATTTATTATAAGATTAAATGTGTTTCATCCATTAACATAAAGAAATGAAAGGAATGAAAACTGCTCAGGGCACTGGGAATAAAAAACTACTCTTTTCCTATCCCTATGCAGCATTAACTGAACTTTTAGAAATCTTGGAGTAGATGGACTTCTTTCTTCCTGTCTTAAGGCTTGAGATACTTAGGGTGTTGTTATTGTTGTTGTTGTTGTTGTTGTTTTCACATATATATCAGAATTTAAGTTGGAACTAAAGAGCAATCCACAACTCATGTTCTTAGAATCAAAATGGACACGAAGGTCATCTGCTCTAACTTCTAATCCATTGCAGGAATTTCTTCCATAATTTATTCTGTTCTTTCTTCCAGTTATAGTGTATTCACATTCTAAAATTCTTGATCTGTTTATGGAATTTATTTTTAAATTTAAATCTTTAGAAAAGCGTTAGAAAACTTAACTCTCTTCCTTGTATTTTCTAGCCATTTGTCCTTGGCCATAATGGCTCTCTCTTCCTCTGACTGAAACCATAAGTCCCAGAGTCTCAGGAGATCATCCAGCACAATTTGGCCCAATTAATATATTTAATGAGTAAAGATAGGCAATTGAGAAGTAAGTGTTTTAAAAATGTGATAAAAAGAGATAAATTGGAACCAAGAAATACCAAAGAGGTAGATGAGTTGGCTGCAGTAGGTGCCATGGTCAGTGTATAAAGTGGGATTCCCATGGTGCAGGGATGCTATTCAGTATGTTTCAGGTTCTGAGAATGAATTCTTTCAGATTTCAGAGACATATGGGCTCTGGAAAATGAATCACAAGACCCAAATCCAGGAGAAACTATTTGATAAATCAGAATTTCCATCTAATAATTCACAGTAAGAAACTACCTTTCACATAATGGGTATTTGATAAATATTTGTTGAATGGAAAAGTGAGTGTTGAATGAACCGAACACTCCAGTTGGCCATTTAGTGATGTTTCTCCTCAACTTTTAGGGAAGTTTACCAGAAAACCACATGAGATTTTTCGTAAACTTATTAATCAAAGGAGATAAGCAGTTTGATCATAAATTATCAGAGCTTGATATAGTCAACCCCATATTAATAGAATATTTGCCAAGAGGACTTAATCACTTACGTTTGGTGATCAGAAAACCTCTCCTGGGCATGTACAAGCAATCTGTACTAATAGTAAGCTCTGCTTTAGGAAAATGCTAAGATTTTCTTATGAACTAAAATTTCTTTTATTCCTAGTTAGTGCTCTCAACTAAACCACTTTTATAAATAGTTTTTTAAACTATAGACCAAAAGAAAAATTCTACTTGTATAAATCCATCCATCTGTTCACATTTAATTCTTTCAACCTATATTTTGTCACTTATTTTGCCTTACTAACCTGTATTTGCCTCTCTTTTCTTAAGATGTTATACATACCATCTTGAAAATTATGAAAGTATTACATTAATATGTTACAATACAATTAATTGGGCAGATAGTTCTAAAAATGCTTCTTAATTCCAGCAATGTTGCCCCAAGAATCCTGGTTATTTTGATTAGACTTAATTACTTCTCCAATTTCTGTTAGCATGACATTTATAAATCAATTTTTAGGATGTGATTTCTACTGGTTCATTTTCTATAGATTGTAACTTTATTCAAGGAGCCATTTGTCAGACCATACTCCCCAGTTTCTGAGGGCCCTTATAAACCTGACCCTCTCTTCAAAGATTGTGAAACAACTAAATTCTAACATTAATTCCATTCTATTTGTCTTTAGGACTTTTGTATCTTCTTCTTGAACTTTTGTACCTTTTCCTTCCAACCAGCATCTAGCAATCTGATGCTAACTCCTTGAGACCCACCAGAGACCCACCAGAGCACAGTGTGATCTGAAATTATCCTTTCCTCTTCCTTCTTCATGCATCACCCTGATCCTATCAAGCCACCCCATCCGTCTCAACCGAGGTTTATTTAAGATGCAATTTCACAGGCACTCACATGCAGCATCAGCTTTCTATAATGAAATACAGGTAGAGGAGGAGGTTATCAAAAGTACCTTTATCAAAGCTAGTAGTGGGATGAATCATATGGTAGATTCTGAAAAGCAAATCGTAATGTAAAAACCCATCATCTCCCAGTAGGCAAAATGCCTTGTGTTGACCATAACCAGGAGAGAAAAATTCAAAATCAAATCAGCTTCCATCCTTCTAGGACAAATGCGAGCAGTGACAGTGGTGGGCCCTTCTGAAAAGCACCAAAAGAACATCAAGAGTTGAAGAACACCATGAAAAGAATTTACCAACCATAATTACTACAATTTTCACTTGCCCTAAATAGCCACCCATTTCCCTGTGCCCTAAATAGCCACCAATCTCTCTCTCTTTACTGTTAATGAAGCAAAGGAGCACGAAAGTATTTCTAATTTGGAGGAGCCAAGGGAGTCTGCATGGGCCATTAGCAGCAGAGAGCTTCATTACTAGGAGAAGAAGTCTCTCCCTGAACTTCTCATGGCTTTATGTGCAAGAAACCAGGAGGCAAGCAGTCCATTTTAAACATTAACCCTTAACTCTGCATCAGCAACAGCTCCCCTATATAATCAAAAAGACAAAAGAACAAGCCTTTCCTTTTCTTTTCCTGTTCAATGGGGTGCCTTAATTTTTGTTCTTTTTTAACAACCAAGCCTGTCTTTAATTAAGAGATATTTTTCTTTAGAAATATAGCACTGTCACTTGATAAAACTTCCCAGCCTAAGTACCAATTTACAATATTAGTTCCATAAACAGTTATGTAATTTAGTGCCCATATATTGTATGGAACTGTTGAATGTACACTGCCCACAAAGGATTTGTTAGGCAATCAACTATACCAATGAGAAAAAATATTAACACCCTGCTTTGTGTTTACCATTAGCTTACTTTTCCTGAGGGTCCATATCTATGTGTATTAAGATAAACACTGTATTGAGCTCTAAATGCTCTCAATTCAGAACGATGGTGAAATAAACTCTTTATAATTACACATCTCCTAAGCCAGACACTTCATAATAACTAGCCTCAAATGGTGCTTCTAGTATCTCCTGAATATTAGTGCTTGCTGCTGTTGCTTTCATCTTTTACTTCACAAAAAGGACAAAATTGAAATTTTGAGGACAGTCAACAAAGTTTCATGGCACAGTTTGGCTTGAGCATCCTTTAAAAATACAATAGGCTCATAACAAGTCCTTGTCAGAAAACCACTATCCTACCTGCAGACCTGCCACCATCCAGTAATATTGTATGTAAAGGTATATGCTTTTTATATACCCTTATTGATTGAGATACACTTAAATATTTTTCCTTTGGAGTAAGAAACCTAAAAAGAGAAAAGAAGCCACAATATTCAGTCTTCTCCCTAAACTTTTAACAGTCCTTAAATTCACATAAAATACAGGACTGGTAGGCAGAAAGGCAAGCCA